ACCGATGCACGCAGTTTCTTCACCTCAGTCGCACTAGTTTCGATCTTGTCTTCCATTTTTCATCATAATCTGGATTACCCAAAATGATCTTGAACGGTGCCTTTAAGAAACTGACTTTTTTGGGAGCTAAAAAAAGAATTTCCGTTGAGATGGCTCGTACAGCACTTTCGTGGGCATCGTAATTCTCTAAGTTATTGTGTTCTGATGAAGTTAACACCAAAACCGCCCTTTGTAAGCCTAACGTCACTTGGAATTTCGCAGCAGCTGCCAAGCGTCAAAGCATTATCGTTACAGTAACCACGAATTCTTTACTCATGTACTCAAACGATGCACCATAGGTAGGAGTAGACTACCCATGAAGCTTAAGATTCAGCTTCTCTGAATCACTCGATAAGGCTTCTGGGTGTGGGAACTTCTCCCCCGAGACCTCGCCCACTGGCTGCTTTCATAGTCCACGATTTGGCGAGCCGAGTCGCGCGACTGATCGCTCGCCAAATCGTGGACTATGAAAGCAGCCACTCGCCGTGTCCGATCACGCGTTCTAAAGGTGAAGATTGGAATTCCCACTAAAAAGATACGGTAGCCGCCGCGAACAACTGTCGCTCGCCGCGGGATTTCGGGAATAAATATCGCCTCTCACTTTATTTTACGGTAGTTTTCGTAAGACTGGCGTTTTTCCAAGCTTCCCACCTAACGAATTTTCATTTTTCCCTCTTTCATCAATTCATCCTTATGCCGCGTGCTTTTCATTCAGAATGCCGTTTCAATGTTTGTATATCAATTTCGACACCACACTTTTCTCGGTTTCTAATGAATGTCGCATTCGAGTCTTGCATTCTGATCACTTTTACTGTCAATGAGGCTCTTGGGTGCCCCCTTCCCTTTCTATTTTTATTTCTTTTTTTTTNTTTTTTTTTCTTTCAGAGCGCCAACCATTCTGTATATGGCACAAAATATTAGCTCACACTCTTTGTCATGAGTTTTTAGAAGAGAACTGAAGGAAAGACGAAAAATCGAAGTCTGAAATGCTTGGAGGCACTACTAACGAAGGTCTGTGGTTAGGGAAATGCGCTATCAATAAAATCTGTTTTGTATAGGAAATGAAAGGGTCAAAATACAGGACTACACTTTGATTTAGCAGAGGTTCATGAGAAGAATTAGCTATAATTCCAGTTGTTACTCATTTTATTTTACGTTTTTCTAGAAATTTCCATACAACACTTACATGCTGGCATCCTCGTCCAATGTTCACCGGCTGTTCTGGTTGACTGGTATCTCTTCCTACCGTCGAAAAGCATCCGGGATTTTCTGCTACAATATTATTTATTTACTTTCAATTAAAAATTAAATTATTTCATTTTCAATTAAAAATTCGACGCTCGTTGAATCCAAATGGTTCGATACCGGGTAGGTTAAGGTAGAGGTTTGGGGTGGGCTCCTTGTTTGCCATGGGTTTGGTATGGAGAAATTACTAGTACTTAATAGTCAACATGTCAGCTCACTAAAAGCTTCCATTCAAGAGACACCTCTCAAAAATAGGTCGCCTTCCCAGGTGGATAGCATGGCTGACTACCCGTCTACCTGCGGTCTACCTGGCCACCATATTCGAGCCTGGCAAGCTACTCAAAAGTACTCATTTGCAAAACAGTAATATATAAAAGCTTTATTTCCGTGAACTTGAGGGAGTGCAATATATTGGGTAGTACCGCCCGAAAGCTACTGAAATGTGGGAATACAGTAGAGTGCCCGAAAAGGGGAATGTTCAATACGATAAAAAAAACTTGAGTTTAAGGGCTGGCTAGAACTCACACGTGTAGAGAATGTATTGTGATTCGTTAGCACGTGGTCGGAACGTAACGCAAGTATTTTCTTGCCAGAAGTTCATCGCATGTGTAAGACTTGTCAGAGAAATGTTTGCTGAAAAAAGATTTTGCTCTGACACAGTTCATGCCTGGTCAGCACGAAGTAAAACGTAGTGGTTAAGTGGACTTACAAAGGCTATTATCAAATTCATACGGTACACCATCTTGCCAGATTGTTTCTGGGTAGAAAGAGTCGCGATAGGCCCATCGTTTGCTTCTCGACGGCGCAGACATCAATTGTTGTTCCCGCATCAATGATTGTTTACTCATGATCATATCACCGTGCATGTAAACTAGGCTGAAGAATAGTCTTCAAAATAGAAACGACGCTATTTTCCATAGCATTTCCCATACAATATTAAGAAAACAAAGTAACTCACCGAGACTTCCCATTTACAGTTATGATACGGTGACCTGTTGCGCCTGAATTATTATTCTGAAAATATAAAACTCATTGCAAAAATTGGCAGGTTCAGAAGCCATATGTTGAGCTTATGATGAGGAAGTTTTCTCAGTTTTCATGGTTCTGTTTTACCTTCCTACAAGTCCTTTACATTCATTACACTGCTTAACCCATAGTCACGGGGGAGGTGGTGTAGTGGCACGTGCCGCAGCTTCACATGGGTTCAAACCCCGGATCAGTATCCTCTAGGCCAACCAAAGCTACCATCCCTCCGGTTTGGTCAATTGACTCCGGAGTCGTTTGGAAGAATAGGAGCTTTGACTTGTACCATTCACGCCACATCGATTCTGAATGGAAGTCGAATGTGGGAGCGCATCTCCCAGAAGGGATTGACTAACGCCCGCAGACTGTATCCTTCTTTATATTTAAGGATAACAGCTTTGGTTACGAGAACACGAGCTGTCTCAGATAAAGTCCTAACCATAACCTTCAAATGAAAGCCGTGCAGAACATACCAAATATGACGTCCGACTATTCTGAAGCGACGACAACGGAAAACTCAGCAAGAACGTACAGAAGAAAACCCTCATGACGCTCACTATTATTCCGATTCCAGAAGATCTTTTATAGTTGGGATACCTTGTTGACAACAACGCCGACAAATACCGACAATATTCAACAGAAGGTTGTTCAAACCTCAAAAGGATTCAACTTGTATCTTCCTTTCAACCTTTTCTTCAGTGATATGACAGAGGGTTAACCGCAAACACTGTGGGAAGAGGCTTTCGGCATCCAACGAAAAACCTCGCTCGAATTGCTTATCATCACCGAAAACGAAGGTTTTTTTCTTCGGTAGAGGTACTTTTTCTTGGTTCATAGCTTCAACGGAAGTTTTTTCCAAGAACAAATTGGCATTCCTCATCGTACAGATTGGTTGAAGGAATAAGCGTTCGATGAATTTTTGGACCGACCTGTACTCAAAGAAACAACTCAGAAATTGTCAGCCTGTATCCGGATTTCCCGGTATGTAGTTTACGCACTCGTTGGATGGAGAAGGAAGCATTTCTATCTGAAAATAACCTTGAGCCGTTGTCATGGTCGAATACATCTCAAGGCCTGTAAAATAAACCTTTTAACATTGTTCAAATCATTATACGGGTGCCCCATTGACTGAACCTCCAACAGACTTAAAAACGGCTAAACCATTACGACTTCTGCTCGGAATGTTTGCCTCTTTTGAAGTTTATTCGGGAGCGGAAAGGCAATTTATATCCTAAGCATCTGATAAACACTCCAAATCATGTAATGTAATCATGTATGGAATGGCGATTTGTGGGCAGAACTCCAGTCTCGGACGGGACTCGAACCCGTTCCTGTCCTTTCCGGGGACCGTACTCTTATCCCTTACACTACCGAGACCCCGCTTGCCCTTGCTTTCTTAATGGCTTATATGTATGCCATAGCTTATCAGCACTCACACGTACAAAGTGTTGAGCCGGTCGGCCGGCATGAATTAAGGGGCTCCTGTAGTTCCTTGTCGCAGAGAACGTCATTCATCGGCCGCCCTTCAGACCGGACCGCACTCACACGTGATCTAATTTCGGAGGCCAGACTTCCGTCAGGCGCGATTGACGATCCAAGGTACTTGTAGATAGATGAACGTCAGTGCCGACAACCTTAATAGTGCCTTGTTCATTTGAACCTGCGGTCATGTACTCGGGCTTTTTGACGTCATTGCTCATAGTCGGCGACGATGCTCTTTGAAGGGAGGTAGTATTGACCATATGTGGAGTGCGGGCTTGCTGTACTATGATCCCCTGCGAAACCGCTATTGAATAGGCCACAGATCACTTCTCTTTCTTCCCTTCATTCCACCCTCTCTTGGGATCACTTCTTTCCCGTTCAATCCCGAAACGATCGATGGCGTTGCTACTAACACAAGTTACCCAATACTGGAAATAAATTTTGCTGAAACGCCGACCTTGTCGTGAGTCATTCCGGTTGATGTAAAAGTGACTGCAACTGCTGTTGTTGGGAAACAAGACACCCCATTCAGTTCCCGCCCCCTTCAACCTTCCCAAATGATTCACCTGTCTGATCACCTAGGGAAATCAGTTCTTCCAAGCCCCCTTTTCTACTGCTTTATCACCGATTCCTTGCGACATTTAAGGCTACTGACTAACTGCTCTTTAAAACTGCTCAATAATGCTCATCGCCCTGATAAGGCATTGATCGCTCCGGTTGTTTTTGCCTTTGTGTTCGCCTCAAATCGAACTTTCCCTTTCCCAGACCCATTCCCAGACCATTTTCCCATTGAAATAATATTGACAGGGTATTGAAGTTTATGAAAGGGATTGAAATCGCGATTCATGTGCCATACCGACAAGTATGTTTGTTTAGACGGCCGAGTCATCGTAGAAATTTGTCTATCGATTCTCTCCGCATTGAAATCATCCAGACATCGGCCCTCCTTAGATTTCAAGGTCCACAATACCCGTCACATGTCCGGTGCTAGCCGTCAGCTGACTTCAATCGGGATTTCTGCGAGCTCGTTTCAACTTCGAATAAATCATCATTTTCCTCATGTACTTCTTTCAACTACTCGCTCATCCATCAATAATTCTGTTTGTTTTGAACTTGAAGACATTGTTTTTCTTATTAAACAAACATTAACACTTTGGAATTATGTATAGTTACGATTAGCGGTCACATAGGAAAAGGGTGCCGGTAGCGCAGCCGTTCAAAGCGAACTTTGGCCTCTTCCCGTTCGAGTGTTCTGTCACCCCAGGTCTACTTGTAGGTAATTTCCAGAGGAAATTTAGTTATTGATATAAAGGCTAATTGAGAAGCTAGACCTATTTGGACAAACTATTGTTGCATGGAAAGTTTTTGACGTAAATTTTGCAATGGTCCAGTTGTTTTCCAGGATCTTCCGGGAGCTCCCACGAGGTCTCTGTGTGAGGACTCTGCTCACCGTTATACGCGTAAAATATCCGACTACCTTTGTTTACATACTTAACCATATAATGACAGAAAACCCCTACTGGNNCCCCTCGGAATCGTGTCAAGCATTTGGCCTTGAATCCTGCCTAGGCGGTTTTGTGCACGCCTCGTTCCAATGCCTCAAAGTTAGAGATCGAAAATCGAGAACGAGTCTCGATATGGGTCAACCGAGCGATATCACGAGGTTTCTAAGTATATTATGCGCATACAGGTAAGTAGTGTCTTTATAGTATTTCTATGGAAGATTCCAGAAAGTTCTGGGAGAAATCCTCCGGGGAAATGTCAGTGTTGTGAAATGTATGGAACATACTTCCCGTACACCCTGTTCGTTACGCTTTCATTCACATCATTCTGTTGCAATCTTCAATGGAAAAGCGCGGCCCATTCCAAACAGCTCATCAAAGCCATACATTTCAGCTTTTCCTATAACATTTTGAATCAATACCCCCTCTACAAAAATCACCACTATGTTCTAGGCCATGAACCTATTTTTCGGTCAGCTTCTAATGCCTCTGTTGAGGAATTCGATGGTCACGACAAAGATAATTGATCGATTTCATCTTCGAGTTAATAATGATCACCCATTTTTCCCTTAAGATAGTGCTTCGATGCTCTAGATAGGTAAAGAGCCCTGGGCCTGGATCAATCTATCGTTCGATTTATTGTCTATAGCGACTGCCTGAAGGGGCATAGAGATCGGTAATGAGAAATTTGTGTTCCAAGTGAGCGATTCAGGAATCGAAGCATGTCATCATGAACAGAGGTTTCAGTGTGTTGCTGGTGGAACTGCGGGAAACAATCTAGTGGGAGTGTTCGACACTAGCACTATGGTGACGCCACAGTCTAGGCTAGTCCTTTGCAAAAAGTGGCCCCGATGTAATGTCAGAACTACGCCCGAATAGACTGAATGTCTTTCTGCTCCACGATAACGTACGCCCACATGTGGCGAACGAGACTTGTCGAAAGAAATGGAACTCGGATGGGAAGTAGTGCCACATCCGAGTTATCCACTAGACCTAGCGCTTTCTGGTTATCACCTATTCTGAGTACTCGAGCGGTGCCCCTCACCGATCCCCCTCCCTCCCCACCTTCCTCCCTCCAAACTACATTTCCACCCACTTTTCTTCCAACCTCATACACAGGGTCAAAAATAGAAATAGATTAGAAATAGTTACTCATTTCATTGCCATACTTCGGTCGACTAACTGGAACAGCAGAAACAAGTTTGGGGGGAAGTAAAAAACAGAATTCTCGACGCTTTTCTCGATGACAGTCCTTGTCTTTCCTCTTCAAAGCTTGCAGCTGCTGCTGCTCCTTCTGCTTTTTCCACTAAACATAGCATTTTTAGATAGAAAACGTTCGCTCGTGGTTTCGACTTCCATCACTCAACGTGCTAGCTTTTACAGCAGCAGTCTGTCCATTCTACTTGCAAGTGCAAGATGGAGGAGAACATAAGTGTTGCTGCAGGTTTGTTTATTTCATATTTGGCCTATATTTATTCTAGAACTTTCCATTTTAATGCTTTCTGAGGTTGAAGCGGTATTCGAAATTTCTGCTTTTCAATTTTTGTGTTTTTGAAAGCGTAATAATAGAATAACTTTACCCAAGTAGGTTGGTTGGGGGTCTCTCTTGCTTCCTTTTCTATGTAATTTTTAATTTTATAAGATTTCCGGCTATCGTAAAACTCACTACTAAACCGCTAACCTGACCATCTTAACACTTTACTTTTTGAATTCTGGACCGGAGGAAATTACTCGCTTTGAAGATCGAATAAACAGTTGTATCAGTTGTTTTGACCGTTCCATCTCAAACACTTGAAGGTAACCACAGTGACTTTGTATGCCCTAATAGCGATAATTGAGGCTGAATCAGAATTATAGATTACTAGTAAAGTAACTTTGCAATTGTTTGAGTACCGATTGATTGAAATGTGAAAGCGATCACGAAAGTTCTATGAATTCTGGTTTGCTTGTCAGAAAACTTCTCGAAAAGCGTTTTTCGAGAATTTCTCTGACAGGGGGTTTCGAAGGGGTTACTCAGACACCTCGAGACTAGAATATACGCTGTTCAGTTGTGAAATTTTTCCATTCTCATTTTCCGTTTTCCTCAAACTGCAGTCACAGCCTCTGAACGAACTCGACGTGGCTCATCACTGCTACGTTAGGGGTGCTTTCCATTAGACAAGGGTCCTGAAGGTGACTGTAAGGGTAGGGGGTAACCAACGAAGTATCGAGCTCTTTCTTTTTTTCACGATTTACGATACACCAGAA